CAAGAAAAACATGTGTTAGTGGCTGGTTTCAAACCCTGGTAATTTTGGGATAGGGAACCGAATTTTTCAGAGACCCATTGGTAACCCCACAAGGCTTGGTAGTGGTGAGTTCAGAATATGTGAAGAAATTTCTATACCTTCTGGATGCCCTTTGTGCATGGCACAGCATACACAGGTTGCACGACGTTTGACTTGATTGATGTCCAAGTCGTTAGGAATTTTTTGCTGTAGCACTCTTTGCCCGTTGCCTATAGAAATCTATAGAGTTTATAGTAGATATAGTAGATCAACTGACTCAAAACTTTTGGGTTTTTTGTCACCTCATGTACTTGAAATACAAGATGGACTGTGCGAAGTTCACCCGGCAGTCCTGGCACGGTCACACGGGCAAACTCCCTGAACCTTCGCGTGCACCTTGGATGCAACGTTCAGTGTGGATGAACCAAGACCCCTGTTTCACAGGATGGCTTGACCAGCAGGGATCAAAACATATCAAAGCACCAGAAATCGGCAGAGCCCATGTTATGGGGTGATGAATATTGGTTTCAAGATGTTTTAAACCAAGGTCCTGGAGGAGCTGTGCCGTAAGGACGTCTTTGTCTACCTGGGCCATGGAGAACGCGTTAGGTGGGCTGATGGCTGGTGAGTTGTGGAATTCTATGAGATCAAGTGCATTTTGTGGCGCTTAGACTCATCAAACATTGCTCTCTGCTGAAATCACCATGTTGTTTGGACAAGAACATCATCTGTAAATGCTCGTAAATAGGGGGTTTTCAATTGCCAGGGTGGATCACCGCAGGTTTATGCGATCAAAAATCGTGAAACGGTCAGAACTTCACAGCAGCGTGCTGCGAGGCAGCTTCTTCGTCACGAGAAGTTGCAAGTTGCAGGGGAAGTGGCTGAGGCCGAACATAGCCAGATGGGGCAGGCTGAAAATAGAGCAGGGCCCCCCAAAATTGATGGCCAATTTCTGATTGAATGATAGAAAGAAAATCCATTGGAACTGGAAGTAGCATATTTTGATACAAACCCAGGTAGAACCAGCTTACAAGTCAGAGTCAAATGCGCTGGCAATCGCCTGATGCTGAACTTGGTGGCTCCAAATGGGCCAGGAAAATGACAGCAGAAGGGCAGGCCTTCGCTCAACCCTGATGCTCTTGGGCTGTTCCAGTGTGAAGATCCAGAAAGGCTCAATGGAGGCAGTGGTTAACGGCTGTGGCTATGGGTCGAAAGGTAAAAGACATACGGACCATTAAGGATCTCCTTTCGATGAAACCATTGGATGGTTTCAGTTGGGATACATTCATTGTCAAATCGATATAAACCTCCGGTAGCCCGGTAGGGTAAATCGTTCACTTGGTGTTCTTGCATTCTTGTCACTATGGGCCACACTGACCATGCATTAAAAAAACATACCACCTTGTCGTTTGACATGAAGTTAACTTCATCAATGCCCCTCTTCGTGGGCATGGGCAACGGGGAGAATGTCACGTGTGGGCTTCTACCTCTACAAGACTATATATATAATATTATACATATACGGACCCCATTGAGCAGTCGTTTTTTGGGGGTACTCAATTTGGGTAAGGGCTGGTAAATGTGCAATTTTGAGAATTTTCAACATCATCATCTGTATAGTAGATTGTTATTTTGGATTCTATATCATTCTATATCAATGATTCCCCAATGAATAGCCAAGTGAATCCATTTCTGAAACAGTGGCAGCAGTCTCCTCTATCTCAAACAGATTTCTTTCTACGTCAACACGGTATTTTGCTCCTGTTTATCAATTTGATGTAGCACCAGGTGGTATGTATATGCATAGATTACATGTATCTTTTGTATATATATATATTATATAGTAACAGTAATATATTATATATAGTAATATATAATATATAGTAATATATAATATATAGTAATATATAATATATAGTAATATATATATATACACAGACACGTAGATACCATGCCTTCAACTGGCAGGGCGACATCGAATCCTTCGGCCTGGCCAGTTCGGCCTTGCTGGGGGGCGCCCCTTTGGTGCTGGGCGCGCAGTGGGACGTGTTGGGAGGAGATCTGGACAAACTTGCCAGCAGGTGCGCGGTTTGGGGTTGGGAATGAGGTGATGATGATGGTGGTCATAATAGGAACAAGTAATATTATTATCACAATTCTTCTTCTTCTTCTTCTTCTTACTGAAACACAACATCAAATCATATTCCCCGAGTTTTGACTTATTGGTAGACTGAATAGAACGTTGGCTTTAACTTGTGGCTTCGGCTGTGCAGATTTGCACCGAACAACGAGGCTTTTACAGCGATGGCTCAAGGAGGGAAAAACTTCATGCCCTTCCCGTGGAGGCCAATAGGGTGATGCAGCTGGAACCAGCAGATTGGAAGATGGTCTTTTGTTCTCCGATTTTGGAACCAACTGCTACCCATTTCGGTGGGTGAGGCCTTCTGACCGCCCTGAAAGACTTGCGACCAAAGTGCCTGTTGCCGAATCTCACCGGAGCTTCCTTGGCGCCTGGACGACATCGTGTTGAAAGCCGAACCTTTCCGGACTTGGACATGGCCTGTTAGATTGCAGGGGTGTATCAAAGTGACTCAAAGGTGGCTCCTTCAGTAGTGCTACTATTGTATATACAAATATATTCTCAAAGGAAGTTGGGAAGCAATACTTCCGAGTTACGAATGACTTTTACTTGATGGAATTGACTATGATGAAGGGTGGTACGTGATGTAACAATACATAGCATAACAATACACAACAAAAGAATAAGAAGCGGTGGAATTGACCTTGATGAAGGGTGGTAGATCACATAACAATACATAACATAACAATACATAACACAAGAATAAGAAGCGGTGGAATTGACCTTGATGAAGGGTGGTAGATCACATAACAATACATAACATAACTTGACCTTGATGAAGGACAATGAAGCGGTGGAATTGACCTTGATGAAGGGTGGTAGATCACATAACAATGCCTAACATAGCAATACATAACACAAGAATAAGAAGCGGTGGAATTGACCTTGATGAAGAGTGGTGACAATGACTGGGTGGTGACGAAGGGAAGTGGTGACGATGGGAAGTGGTGACGAAGGGAAGTGGTGACGATGGGAAGTGGTGACGAAGGGAAGTGGTGAAGAAGGGAAGTGATGATGAAGGGGAGTGGTGAGGAAGGGAAGTGGTGAGGAAGGGAAGTGGTGACGAAGGGAAGTGGTGACGAAGGGAAGTGGTGACGAAGGGAAGTGATGAGGAAGGGGAATGGTGAGGAAGGGAGGTGGGGACGATGGGAAGTGGTGAGTAAGGGAAGTAGTGAGGAAGGGAAGTGGTGAGGAAGGGAAGTAGTGAGAAAGGGAAGTGGACGAAGGGAGGTGGTGACGATGGGAAGTGGTGACGATGGGAAGTGGTGAGGAAGGGAAGTGGTGAGTTGTGGAGGAAGCCGGAGCACGAAACCTTGTGTTTTTCCGTGTAAAGTGGCTGCAGGCGACGATGAAAGGTACCTCGTCTGTGCGGCGGTTGCGGCTGCGGTCGTTTTGTGCGCGAATTGTTCCTCCTATGTGTTTTGCAACGAGTGGTTGTTCCTGTGTGCGTAGTTCCATGCGGTTCTTGAATCTCTGGTTGCAGATTGCATTGGAATGGCTGCTTCATTGTCGTGATTTGATGTTGCCACGTGCGTAGATAGGTGCAAGTTTGCTACGGGATGCTGCGAAACGCATTGTAATGGCTGCATGAATGTTGCATGGGCTATGTTTTGGGGAGGAAGCTGGAGCACCAAACCTTGTGTTTTTCCGTGGAAAGTGGGCCGTCGATGAAAGGTACCTCGTCTGTGCGACGGGTGCGGCTGCGGTCGCTTTGTGCGCGAATTGTTCCTCCTATGTGTTTTGCAACGCGTGCATGGTTGTGTCTGTGTGCGTGGTTCTATTCGGTTCTTGAATCTCTGGTTGCAGATTGCATTGGAATGGCTGCTTCATTGTCGTCATTTGATGTTGCTACGTGCGTAGATAGGTGCGGGTTTGCCACGGGATGCTGCGAAACGCATTGTAATGGCTGCATGAATGTTGCATGGGTTATTTTGTGGGGAGGAAGCCGGAGCACGAAACCGTTTGTTTTTCTGTGTGAAGTGGCTGCGGCCGACGATGAAAGGTACCTCGTCTGTGCGACGGGTGCGGCTGCGGTCGTTTTGTGCGCGAATTGTTCCTCCTATGTGATTTGCAACGAGTGGTTGTGTCTGCGTGCGTAGTTCCATGCGGTTCTTGAATCTCTGGTTGCAGATTGCATTGGAATGGCTGCTTCATTGTCGTCATTTGATGTTGCCACGTGCGTAGATAGGTGCGGGTTTGCCACGGGATGCTGCGAAACGCATTGTAATGGCTGCATGAATGTTGCATGGGCTATGTTTTGGGGAGGAAGCCGGAGCACCAAACCTTGTGTTTTTCCGTGTAAAGTGGCAGCAGCCGACGATGAAAGGTACCTCGTCTGTGCGACGGGTGCGGCTGCGGTCGTTTTGTGCGCGAATTGTTCCTCCTATGTGTTTTGCAACGAGTGGTTGTTCCTGTGTGCGTAGTTCCATGCGGTTCTTGAATCTCTGGTTGCAGATTGCATTGGAATGGCTGCTTCATTGTCGTCCTTTGATGTTGCCACGTGTGTAGATAGGTGCAGGTTTGCTACGGGATGCTGCGAAACGCATTGTAATGGCTGCGTCAAGGTTGCGGAGATCGCAAATCGTTTTGGAGTGGCTGCATCCAGGCTGCCACAGTGATTTGTCAGCAGATTTTCGCAATTTTGGGGCTAGTAATTTTCCTTTTCAAATTCTTTTTAAAAAGTGCTTC